TGAAAACAAACCATGGAGACTGTTCTTTTTTACAGATCAATGCCAATGATTCAGTAAAGTTTCATGTTTAAGAGCTTGGACCAGGTCTGAGAGTCCTCTTTAAAAACAAAAAAAGGAAGAACCTGTGTTTGAAACGTTAATGTAACTAACAGTTGTCTGAAATAAACACTACTGGTCTAAACCTGCCTGAAACATCAATATATGAAAAATACTGATGATCCAAACCAGTTTTATGGTAAATGGCCTGTATTTATATAGCGCTTTACTAGTCCCTAAGGACCCCAAAGCGCTTTACATATCCAGTCATCCACCCATTCACACACACATTCACACGCTGGTGATGGCAGCTACATTGTAGCCACAGCCACCCTGGGGCGCACTGACAGAGGCGAGGCTGCCGGACACTGGCGCCACCGGGCCCTCTGACCACCACCAGTAGGCAACGGGTGAAGTGTCTTGCCAGAGGACACAACGACCAAGACTGTCCAAGCCGGGGCTTGAACCGGCAACCTTCCGATTACAAGACGAGCTGCCAACTCTTGAGCCACGATCAGTATATGAGTTGTAGACTCATATACTGTGGTTTGAGATTAAGACTGGTCTAAACTGGTTTCAGGTATGAACTGGTCTGTGAGTGGGAGTTCTGACCTCGGGACTTCCTCTTGTAGTAGATGAATCCAGCCAGAGATAAGATCAGACCCAGGATCAGTCCTGAGGCTCCGATGGCGAGCTTGTTCCTCTCTGACTCAGGCATGGACGAAGAGGGATCTGAGTCACACAGGTGAGAGTCAGACAGGTAGGTGTGTACAGGTGTGTTCAGGTGTGTACAGGTGTGTAGATACAGACAGGTATTTACCCCAGTCAGTTTTCAGAGGTTCCTTCAGGCTGGCGTGCTCCACCACACAGGAGATCTTCTCCCCAGACCTTCAACACAAACATCAGTGACTCTCAGATCTTAAACTTTTAAACTTTAGTCCAGACTTCATATTAAAAGTCTGTTTCCATGGATTATGATGCTCACCTGGGTGTGTACTCCAGGTGTGAGTGAGTCTGGTAGTACCAATCACCATCTGCCATCTCCTCAGTGGAAGTGACATCAGAGGTTATTTCCTTTCCATCTCTCAGCCAGCTCACTTTGATCTTACTGGGATAGAAGTCATAGACGCTGCAGACCAACATGGCAGGATGGTGACTGGAAGGAGTTATCATGGAGTGAAGTTTGACGTAGGGTTTAGCTGGAAGACAGGATGATTGTATACATGTGCATTAATAAAGATACTGTCAACAGCAGAGTCACATATAACCAGTCTGACATCAGATGATGAATCAGCTGTGAGGAGAAACATCAGCAGCTGCAAACATCATTATTATAAAGTAAGACATGCAGAGCTGTATGTGCTGGAAATCTACCAGACTTGAACCTGGATCTGGATCAGGTTTTATTAACATCCAGTGAAGTGCTGACTCAGAGTGACATCAGTGTGAACCATCACTGAACTGATCCTCCTGCAGATCAGCTGCTGTGGTTTGAAAGTAAAATCTGACACATGGAGACCTGATGATAAACTGCTGCTTTAGCAGACACATAAATGATCCCAGCCTGCTTTACTCAGTTTAATATCAACAACAAACTAAAGGACTGAATCCACAGCTGGTCCCAGTCCGGATTTCTGCTCATCCAGCTGTTTGATTGATGAGCAGAAATTATTAAGTGCAAATGATTTAATATTGATAGACACACTTTTTACAGCTAAAGACTCACAGCAGCTGATGAAAGAATGTGTTACACTGGGTGCTGTTTCATTACGTTTGGGTGTAGGTATAGACAACTGTAGGCTGAACAACAATGGTGGAGGAGATGGTGATAGTGGTGGTGAGCGAGGCCAAGGGTCACTCTGATCAGACTGTACCATCCAGAGCCTGCAGGGGCGCTTTGCCTGTTTAATTAATCATATTTGTAACCAGATGGGTCAGATAAGAGCTGCAGCCTGATGGAGGAAACTTCTCACATGTTTCCTTCTCTGAGGTCACACCGTCACACTCAGAGAGGAAGTTACTGCTTAAACAGTCTGTAAACAGCCTGCTCATGTGGTTCAGCATGCATGCTGCATTAGGTGCACTTCTAACCATCTAAAACCCAAAAGCAGAACACACAGGATGACTTCGCACTATCAGACAGCTTCCCCTCCACAGGAGGTCTGAGCTGGTTCTCCTCATGTTTCTCTGAGCTGCTGCTGCTGGGACCTGACTGTATGAACTACAGTCACACTGGAACACATGAATTACTAACCTCATGTTACACAGGTCACAGGTTGTGTGTGTTTACATTTCACTGATCAGTCAGGTCAGCCTGTCAGCACAGCAGATGATTCATGTTTCAGCACTTTAGCTCACTTTACTGCAGAGATGCTGCAAAGAGTGAGACACTTCACACACAGATTAAATAACAGCAGTCGTGTTTATGTGTGTGTGTTATCATGATAATCTTTCATCATATTTAATGGCTCCACTGTTACACTGACTCATAGATCTGAGCTGTAAATGTGTGCAGGTGTGAAGCTGATAAACAAGGTGTGAAAATCAGAATCAATAAACTGCAGAAGGTCTTTAAAGAAACATCAGTGTTTCTAGGATTTATCTAATTTAAAATCAATGAATTAGAAGAAAAGAATGAAAGGTTTTTTTATTAACCTGTAAAGATGCTTCATGCTGTTACAAATATTTATATGAAAATATTAGAAAACAAATGTGGACGATCTTTCAGCTCAAAAGTAAACAAACAAACAAACAAATTAATATCATCAGTGTGTTATGATGAACAGCTGCAGTTTGCCTGTTTCACCAGCAGGGAGCGCCACAGACTGAGGTTAGAGTGTTCAGAGTCAGTGATTTATTACAGTCATTGATCATCAGAGTCTGACCTGCAGCTGTGAGTCCATCATGAATGATTCAGAGTGAGGTCAACACCTGATGATGTCACACAGACCAGCACACTCACCTGATTTAGACAGAACGGCGCTGTAGTCAACACCAATGTTGTTATGGCAGTACGTCTCCTTCTTAGCTCTCATTCTAGCCAGCTGTCCTGGTTGATTGTTCCAGGCCTCTGCGTTCTTCACTCCGTACTCAGTGTATCCCACAAACTTCCCCACACTGCTGTCAAACCGGGTGAACTCAACCTTCCTGAAATAGTAAGACCTGATGTACTCGATGTCCTTCGGATCAGTGGAGTTAAAGTTACAGCGAGACATCATATACATTTCGAATCCATCTGAGAACAAACAGAACCACACAGAACATCAGACTGTGGCCTGATCACATCATTGGTCAGAGTATTGATCAGTGTATTAATGATCATTGAGGAGTGTGTTGATCATACCTGCTGTGCTGAGGCTGATGAAGAGGAGGCTGAGGCAGAGGAAGGATGAAGCCATGTTCCTGAGTTCTCCTGACAAACTGACTCAGTCTGACTGAGAGCTGCTCTAAAAACAGAGGACAGGTCACATGACCACAGTATCATCTGTTACCAGGAAGAACTCTGTGACACCAGCTAACTGCTCTGTTTATCATCCTGTGTGTGAGTTAAAGTCCATTAAAGCTTTAAAAGCAGAGAGCAGCACTCTGTGATGTCATCAGCACCTTTCCTCTCTGCTGCACTGAAAACCTTCTGTTTTCATGTATATTCCACTGTCAGAGCTGGAATCTAACTTTCTGCAAACACATTAAACCAAACACTGACGACAGCACTGCTGTAATATTAATACAAACCATGATTCATAATTTACTCACGTTTATTAATCAATAAAACAATCCACTCTCTTTCAGTACTTTTGATCAGTTGAACTTCCTGCATCACACTGTTTATACTCACACTTCCTGTCTCTTTCAACTTAAAAGGACAGAAACACTCTTATTGTGAAACATTTCCATGGAGCTCTGACATTCCACTGTGTGGACGGCACAGATCTCATGATATTGGACTGAAACAAACATGAAATCAGGCATGTTTTTTAATTAATGTGAAGTGTAATGTCATCATTTACAGATTTATTTGTAGTTTTCCGGCTCCAGAGCAGCTGAATCACATTTCACTGTGTTACACTCAGAGTTTAAATGTTTGTAATTCACATTTTCTGTTTAGATATTTATGCAGACAAATTCCTGTTCAGAGATACAAAATCTTCACAGTCAGACTCTAACAGCACATGTGTCAACTCATAGATCATTGACGAGGAAAACAACATCTTGAGATTGTTTTCTCAGAACAAATATAAATGTTGTTTCAATCATTAAATGTCAGATATTAAAGCATGTTTGATTCATTTCTGTAAGCTATTCATTGATTTTTCTTTCAGCCGTCTAGTTTTACATCTTTTCTTTGCATTATGATCAGTCGATGAATCTCTGCTGTTAAACACATGGATGAATTACTGGGTTTCCTTCATTAAACTGTTTGTGTGTTTGAGCTGAAATCTTCCTTAAAAGCTGGAATTCAGTAATTTTTTCTGTGACCAATGAAGTCACATGATTATGAACAGGAAGCAGAACCTAAAAACATGAACCCACTGAGACACACCTGACTCAAACCACACAGAGTGAACTGGATCCATGAATATTTGTAAAGACACACAAAGAACAATCTCACACAGGTTTGTGTTTATTACTCAGATGTTTTTATTGATACATAACAACCTGAAACACAGTTTGATAAACATTGAGTCATTATAGCAGTTTATGAACACACTGAGATCACCTGAGCTCAGATAAAACTGATTTCAGCAACAATGATTTGACTTTTATCTTCTTTGTTTTTGTGGCAGGAACAGAGTCCAGGTAACATCTGCTGGATCGAACATGTGGAGCTGTGGGTGGAGGGCGGCTGAAAGTAGCTTTGCTTTGAATTCCAGAGTCAAACTTTATTGACACCTATGATGACAGGCAAAACAGTTCATACAGGTGATTAAATTAAAGCAGCTGAAGCAAGTAAACAGGCAGCAGACAGAAAAGAGGAATCAGATGTTCACTACAGGTGAACTCTGTACAGCCACACTGATTATGAGCTCATTATATAATGTTGACGACATCATCACTGTGAGCCAATCAGCTGCACTCATTTCCTTTGATGAGGAAGAAGGTTCCAGCAGCCACACCGAGCAGACCCACAGTCAGACCCACTCCACAGAATACAGAGGGTCCAACACCTGGATCAGACTGACCAGACGCCTGCACATCTGGAGACACAAACACACAGAGAGATGAACCAAACAGCTGGAGACAAACTGTCATCTCATATCAGGTCCAGCTGCTCTGATGAACACTGGGCTCAGGCTTCACCTCTGTATCTCTGTCAGTGTTCTGTGTTTGAATAAAGTTTTCTCACCATAGATCTTGGTCAGTGGTTCAGTCAGGGCCAGATGTTGCACTGCACAGCTGTACACGTCTCCCTGCTGTGGGGTGAAGTCCAGTCTGGAGATCTGGGTGAAGGTCCCGTCTTTGTTGGGATAGGGAACGTTGATGCTGGATCCTGTGACCTTCTGTCCGTTCTTGGTCCAGGAGACGTTGACAGGAGCAGGATAGAAACCAGTCACGTAACAAATGAGATAGTTCTTCTCTCCAAACTCCACCTCATCTCTGGTGTAGATCATCACAGCTGAAGGAGCATCTGTGCACAAACACATCAGGCAGAGGATCAGAGCGTCAGCAGGTGATCATGATGATAATAAACATCAATAAAACGTTCAGGTGTTCACTCAGATGATGTCATCACTGTCTGTGTGAGAGAAGCTAGAGTGAGGTCAGAATCATGAAGTTAAACTACAGACAGACTCAGTTCAGCTTCAGAGGAACTAAAAGGAGGAAAATAAAATAAACTGATCTGCAGTAAATGCAGAATACTGCATTCAGAAATACTGAAACATGAACACAAATATAAACACGTCAGTGTTTCTGTACACATGATCAGTCTGAATGTGCTTAAGGTGGAATGATTTCATGTATTTAATCAGGTTGAAGCTGGCTGTGTTTGATTGGACAAAGTAAATCAGTGCTGATGATGTCATCAGTGTGTTACTCTACAGAGCGTGCAGGTAAACACAGGTGAGGTCAGACAGGTGTTACATGTTGTATTTACCCTGTTCTAGAGGGAAGTCCTTCATCACTTTACGAGCAGTCTGCAGGTTGGTTTTGCAGACCTGTTGATTAGCCACAGCTTGTTCATAAGCTCCTGGGTAAGTCCCATGATCCATAAAAGGAGGCTGAGGGTAGATCATCTCCTTTTTGTTGAAGTCTGCGTACCATTTCTCTTCACCATCCAGTCCATACATGTACTCTCCATCAGAGTCTGAACAGCCAACGGTACTAATGTCACTGTGCAGAGCTGAAACACATCAAACACTGATCAGTGACCTGATCAATAACCTGATCAATAAGCTGCTGTTTACAGAGACAAACTCACCGTCAGCAAAGACACAGAGGACACAGGAGAGGAAGAGGAGCAGCTCCTTCATCTTCATCAGCAGCTCTCTGACAGTTAAACTCTGAGTGTGTGTGTGTGTGGACCTCACAGAGTGTGAGTCTCTGAGTGAACTAAAAGTGCAGCTGAGCTCTAACACACAGCAGCCAATCACAGAGCTCACAGTTCATGATGTCATCAGTGTCCAGGCAGACAGCAGCTGGAGGTGAACATGATCTGACACACACAGCACGATCAATAATCAATATTTATAGACTCTTCAAAATAAAGTTCAGCCTGATCAGCTTCCACTCTGAGGATTTTCAAAATAAAACCAACTTTATTTTAATAAAATGATTCAGTTTGTTTACAAACACTGTGAAATATGACTTTATGTGTTATTTAAATAGTTTCCAGTTGAAATCACCTGAGTTCATGTGTGTTACTGTGACAGTGAGAGTCACAGCTGAGTTTGTCAGCAGGAAACTTTTACAGACACAAAAACTTTACGCCCCCATCATATGTTGTAGATGCATCCAGCAGGTCCATCAGAGTCTTTACTGGGCCGATTCTGGCCCCGGGCCTTATGTTTGACACCTCTACAATAACCTGATCAGCTTTCAGAGAGTGATTATTGATCATAACCTGCTGTCAGAGGAGCAGCTGAGTTAGAGCTGAGGAGGAGTTTAAAGTGTTTCCTGTTTCCTCTGCTGATAATCAGCCAATCAGCTCTTTGCTGTCACACAGCTCACCTGTGCAGGTGTGACAGGTGAGTCAGTCCATCTCAGATCATTGGCTGTGTCCCAATTTAGCGTCCGCACGCTTCGAGTACGCATTTTGGGACGAAGGCTGTCCCAATCTGAAGTGTTCTCCAGCAGCAGCTGACAGATGGAGAGAATAGACAGACTGTTCCCTGTTTGTGAAGGACTTAACATAACTGTCTGTGCTGAATCAGTCTTATTAGGTAATGTTCAAATAATGTGATCATCCCAGTGTTTCCAGTGTGGGAGAAAGTACTCAGGGCCTTCAAGTTACACACTATGAAAGGCAGCAACAAGTGTAATATTCAGAAACCTAAAGTCTGTATCAGCAGCAGAATGGAGCTAAAATAAATGTTGGTTTCAGTTCTATGAAGCTTTGAGTATTTTGGATCAGTAGCTGCTGTGTTTGTTGCATCATATTGCTGTAACTGTTTATATGCTTTATATATTCTGAGCTAAGTTGATCTATAGTGTTACATCATATTCTATAAGGATGTTATGTGTTTGTAGACTTTCTGCCCAGTTTGACCCATTTAGCAGACGTCAGCCTGTTTAAGGCTCTGATATCTATTCTGTGTGACTTACAGCAGTTATGACATGGTCTGATTTTCTCACCCAATAAAGGAATATTTCATATATCAGTCTACTCTTCATTCTATCAGACACAGTTATCACAGCTTGTACATTTGCTTTTTACACATATATGTAAGCACTGAGCCACATTTCGTAATGCCAACATATTAAAAGAACAATATTTGTCTCTTATATATGATACATCTGTATACACACTGTCACAGATACTCGTCTTTGAGTGAAGATTGAAGGTGACAGGAAATATAAATAACTGCAACTTGAATCTTTACTGAAGCTCAGAGGCACAGAGTTCACTCACTGCTGTAATATATCATAATACTCTGACAATAAATATAATATTGTCCATATTATATTTACATTATGGATTAAAGGGCTTTGGAGTTGACGTCACGCCGCAGTGCATTGTGGGATCCCGGCACCATGTTAGAAGGCCACGAATCAAAACAAACACACTGTGTTGCGCAGAGGTTGCACATAACACTGACTTCTCCTCAGCAGCTGCCCCAAAATTTGCTCTAGATGAAAACATAACAGTGACCATTGTCTGCCCCTCACCCTCAGTAAGTCCTGCTACTGTCCTGGGGGTTGATTGTCCTCCTGCCTGCACCTCAGTTCTTTGTTCCCATCTCAGGCCTTTTTTCTATTCTTACACCCATTAACCGCAATATTAGAATGTTGCAAGCAAACTGTATTCTCTTTAACTCTGATCTGTATCAAGGAATCTATTCTCAACAAAGTATATAAACAAAAATAAACAGCAATGTGAATTTCTTTGGAACTTACCGGAATGAAAATGTGGGGAGCACACCAACAAACATGATGGCAGAGAGCTGGCTATCAGCTCGACTCACCGCTGCTATCCAGGCCTGCCGTCCTCGTTTGGTAACGTACATGAGCTCTAGTGATGTGTCCTGTGTGTCAAAGCTCCTTCGCGTTGCTCTCAGGAGGGGAGACGATAAAAAACGAGCCCATTTTCCAGCTTATTCCTTCCCGATCGCGCGATCTAACATTGCAACCGACAACACAGCAAGTACGAGCCATAGCTGATGTTTCTGTGTGCTTTCCTCCTGTAGCCTTTGTTTGGCCTACGAAGATGGCGGCTCGACCCAAACTCGTGACCACGCCCCTCCCCTGTGACCACGTGACTTTCATGCATTGCTTTGTGGGTACCCATGGCAACAAAATCAAAACACTGCATCAAGCGCTAGTGTTTCCAGCACCGGTAATCATTCATTCTGCGGTTTTAATCCCTACTTGTATTTTATTTGCCCCAAAAACAGTTCTGTACAAAACGACGGACACCACGTCAGGTCCCCAAAAATGAAGCCAAAACGTCTCTATCGCCCCCTGGTGTCTGGCTGCAGTATAGGTCATAAACCCCGCCTCCTCCATGTTAGCGGATGGGACTGGGGTCAGACTAAAATAAATTAATTCTCCTAAAATCAACTTTTTCCAAAGATTCTTTCTTTTGTTATCAACAGTTCTCATCACGCTGATTTATGTCCGAGGGGTCTCCTCTCCCATAAGTCTGATTCTAATTCCTACCGCGGTGATGTTAGATTGGGGGTGAAACGTCATCATAGCAGCTTTGACTGGCAGCTGCAGTCATGGAGAAACTTGCTTATCTCTGTTCGGGAATAGCAGATAGAGCGTAGGCTCTGAGCGGAGGGCCAGCGTTTATGTTACGAAGACATAACCAACTGTTTTAACCTGACAGCCTGAGGTGTTCTTCAGTAAACTGGACTACCCGACAGAAGGACCCCAGGCCCCGCTGCACTGTTTCGGTAAGTTAAACGTGTTTGTAAGCTACTCCGTATCTACCGTCCTTAGCTCGGTCCTGAGACCTAGCTAGCTAAGATGAGCACTCGGCTGTCAGGGTTCGTTTAGCTGTGCAGGTGAATGAATTTACTAAAGAAATCAAGAGAAACGCTTCGGCTGCTCACTGATTACTGTTACTGTACTTTTATTACAAGTATTATACTGTAAAACAACAGGCTGCATCCTGCTGCAGCTCCTGTGCAGAGCTGAATATTAAAGATGTGCAAACAGCAGCATGTTTTCAGTCTCTTGCCACATCTGTAAAGACAGTAAAAAAAATTTTTAAAAGCTTGTACTTCAGTAACTCCTCATTAATCAGGAATTATGGATTAAAGTACTATAGTGTACTGTAATACTGAAAAAAATGTAAGAACTTCAGATCCTGAGTGTGTGAGGACAGAAGAATCAGCTTTATTTCAGATTTGAGATAAACTTTATATTTCAGTTTGTGATGGTTCTGTTCTCTTTGATTACAGGAGCTGCCCTCAGATTCAGACCTCAGCACCACCCAGTGACAGCACAGATCATCCAACATGTTCACATGTTAACTGCAACATGAACTGATGAAAACAGTACAAAGGTTAAAGTACCACACGTGCTGTAGTGAAAGCTGCAGCTGTTTTACTGATAAAGTTAAAGACAAAAAGTCAAAAGGATTACTCACTCATGTAACTGTGTCACATATATCAGCATTAACAGGACCTCAGCTTGGTGTTTCACAAAGCTGCTGATCTCAGACCTGCACAGCTTCTGTTTTAAACACTTGATGCACTCAGCTGCATGAAGAGCACGTTTGAGTTTCTCTGACACAATTAAATAAAACCTGATGAAGGTCAAAGGTCGTCACTTGTATGTTGAACTACAAACTTGTCATCTGGAATTCTTTCACAGTTTTTTACACATAGTGTGTTATTTACCATAAAGTGATTCAGAGTTATTCATACCAGAGTAACCGGAGAGGATCATATCTTTTTAAATATATAACTTTCTACAGGACTGAATATAATATCTATGTAAAAGTCCGGAGCCTCTGGGGAGTATCCGAGTATTTATAACATTACACAAACCAAAGGTCTCCATCACAGTGTTCATGAAATGCTGGGTTTATCCATCTCCTGGGGCGGGCTTACGGAGGAGTGCTGAAGATTTCCCTGTGAGGGAGCTGCTGGTGCAGGGTTAGTGTCTGGTGTTACCTACATCTTCCTATTCAGAAGGCAGAATTTCCGAGTTCTGAGTACAATCAAAGCACCACGACTGCAGTTTTTGTGTTGGATGTAAAAATGTGACGTAGGCTAGAATCATGGCAGCAGTCAATGACGGTCCAGGCGTGGGATTTCTCTCGTGGAAATATGCACATTATCTTTTCCTTTCTATTGGTAGGTGGCACAGTGCACTGTGGCAAGTAAGCAAGCTAGAAGACTGGCAGTCTGGCTGGGTATCCAGTTACAGAAGCAACACATTAACAAGAGAAGTCTGAGTAAAACCAAAGTTACTTTCCCTAGTAACTAGTTACTTTGGAAGTAACGAGTAACTTGAAGTAACTGAGTTACTTGTAACTAGTAATGTAACTAAGTTACTGATTTAAAGTAACTTACCCAACACGGCCTGACCAAGGTTGATAGAGGGACCCAGTCTGGATCACATTCCTGCATTTTGTTTCTGGTTTTCCTACAAAACACAACAAACATTAGCCCACAAAGCCACAGTGAACAAAGCAGCATAGCAACGAATTAAATTCAAATCAATATAAGACTTATTTGTAACCTACATCAACAATTATGATATGATAAATACGTAATAACTACAACAGAAGACTGACCTTTGTGGAAATGCTTGAAGCAGACTAACATGTGAGCTGGAGTGTTCTGCAACGTTATATTTGGTCTTTGAA